GGCCCCCCCCAGCCGTTCAGCACGCCAGGCGGGCAGGGGTGCGCTGCAGCCAACCGCTCGAGGCTCCTGGCCTTGGCGTCTCTCTCCGGCTCAAACTCGAAGGGCTGCCTGTGCTTCCGTTCCTCCTTGGCAAAGGCAGGAGCCAGGAAGCTTCCCTGTGTGCAGCAGGGCAGAGCCGTCACAGCTGGGCCCCCAGGGCGCGGGCCTCCCGACCCCAGAAACCAGCGCACACTAGCCCCGGGCGGCAAGGGGGCTGGGACGGGGGGCTCTGGAGACGGCGTGGAGCCCTCAGTCTCTCTGCTAAAGCCCCCTCCAACCCATGACCCTCGGCCCAGCACTCCCGCCCTACAGAGCCCCCCCGGCCGGCCGATCGGGGGGCTTCTCCCCGAGCAGCATGCCCCGGCACCAGCCGGACAGCACAGGAGCAGGGTCTGTGCTGGGACCCCCAGCCCTGGGGCCATGGGGAGAGGGGCTGAAGGAAGGCGAGCCGAGCGGCCTGGCGGGGGAATGTCAGCCCTGGGTTGGCAGCGCAGGGGCGCAGAGGGCAGAGGGGGTCTCCGCCCTGTACCTGGGCAGTGAGCGCGCTGTCGCTGAAGCTGGGGTGCGGGGTGCCGGACTCGGCAAAGCCGCTCCGAGGGCCTGCGCTGCTGGCTACGGTCTCTAGCTGCTGGCTGGAGGACGGCCACTTGCCCTTTAGCACGGCGTGGCAGATGCTGTCTATGCGGCTGATGATCACCCGGTCCTGCGAGCAGAAGCAGAGCTCAGGGGCGCGCCGGAATCCCCTCCCCCTGCCCACACGCCGGAGGCCCAGGGCCCGTGGGACCACAGCACAGCGAGTATGGAGGGGAATCCAGCCCGGCAGAGCTGCTGGCTGGAGGACGGCCACTTGCCCTTTAGCACGGCGTGGCAGATGCTGTCTATGCGGCTGATGATCACCCGGTCCTGCGAGCAGAAGCAGAGCTCAGGGGCGCGCCGGAATCCCCTCCCCCTGCCCACACGCCGGAGGCCCAGGGCCCGTGGGACCACAGCACAGCGAGTATGGAGGGGAATCCAGCCCGGCAGAGGCCTGGGCTATGTCCATGCCCCACTGGGCCCTGCCCAGTCTCCCTGCGATACCCCCCAGCCTAGCCCAGCCAGGGGGCTGCTCTGCCCTCAGGCCCTGCCAGCCCACTGACCCGGGGCAGGGCCAGAGGCGGGTGGCAGGGGCTCGCACACAGGGTGCAAGACGGAGAAGCTGAGCCTGGCGGCCCTGAGAGGAGCAGGGCTGGTTCTGGAGCCACCTTGGGCCACTCCGAGAAGGAGTAGAGCGTCTTCTCCTGCAGCAGCTGGGCGATGGTGGGCGCCCGGGTGTCCTGCAGCTCCTCCGTCTCGCCAGGCAGGGCGCAGGGAGAGCTCTTGGCCTCCTCCTCCGAGTACTTCTCTGGGCAACCTAGGCAAGGCGAGAAAGAGCCGGCCCCCTGGCCACCTGGCTGGTGTCTCAGCCCCACCAGACACCAGGAGGGGGGGCCGTCTCTTGTGCCAAAGCGACCCCGTTGGCTACGAGGGGGTAGGCGCCCGGGGCCCGGCAGGGCTTTGGGAGGGGAAGGTCTGGGCCCCGCGAGGCCGGCAGACGCCATTTCGGGACACCAGACGTACCCGGATATAGCTCTTCCGCGTCTTCCACGCGCCCGTTGTTTCGAGAGATTGTGACCTAGCGGGCGCTACCCCGGCGTCCACGAGAGCAGGGGCTGTGGGAACGGCGCCTGATGGCAGTCGCCTGGCAATGAGCAACGCTCGTCACGCAGCACACGCCGCGGCGCTTCTCAGGCCAGGGGCCGCCAGACGCACCGTACGGACCTCGGGGAAGCAGGGCTTAGCCCGACCGCGCA